GGAAGTCTTTGGCTGGAAAGAGGTGGAGGAAAGGCTTATGATTATGCCTTTGGCTACTAGCAGGCCATTAGAAAGACTTAGCTACAGCACCTTTACATCCCTTACTTGGGATGTGTATGTATTCATCCAGTCTTAGAACAGTGCATACGTATATACTTTGTTGCCAGTGACCAGGTGCTTAGCAGGTATACTGAAAGCATGAAACCTGGAAGCTCAAATTCCTGACTGTAGATGCATACAGCCTAGCTGTGTGCCCTAATTAATATACAGGTGGCTACTTCACGTGTCTCACTCTCCTCGTGATTTCCCCCAGTGGAAGACTGTAAAGATCTCCAGATTTCATCCAGGTATGGAATCAGGAGGTCTACCCTCAAAGTGCCCCATACCTACCTCTATATTCTCTTCTGCAGCCCTCTTATTATTGTTCTGCTGCTCTCTAAAACGAACAGGAGACTCGCAGACATGGCAAATGACTTCAGGCTTCTTTCCCCAGAGGTATCAGTGTAGTGCAGCTGACCTTGCCCTGAGCCAGCAGAGCCTATTCATCAGGACTGTGCACAGCACCTCGTCTGCATCATGTCCAGTCCACCACCAGCTGCTATGAGCTGAAGTCTGTACCTACTAGTGCACAGAGAGTTGAGTGGGTTTAATTCTGTTGCATAAGGCTGGCTGGCATTGCCATTTGAAACGTTCTTTTAAAAAGATAGTTAAGTGAGTTTTTTCTATAGTCTATGTGTGAAGGTGAAAGCCTTTTGGCTTCCAGGCACAGGGTGCAGAGAGATGCTTAGGAAGGTAGCAGGTATTTTGACTGGTTCACTGCTAATTATTGCTTTAGTAAACAACAGCTGTTCAGATGCAGCTCAGCTTCTTGCTTTGAAAAGATTACAGTGCCCAAACTGTAGTCTCATATTATTGAAAAAAGAAAAAAAATGTTATAATCATTTCACTCCCCTACTGCTACAGATTTTATGGGCCTTGTAGTGCGCTGTTATGTCAGGCATATTAATTGCTAGTGAGTCGATGTTAAGCAAATGGAACAGCTTTGTGCAGCGTTTGGACACTTGGTTATAGACGGTTTAACAGCAGTCTTCTGGAGAGGCTCTGCATTAGTCTTAGATTATTTCTCAGCACTAGAGAAATGGCTCTTTCAAAGTAACTATAAAATGAACCGTTGCTGCCAAGCAATAGCAGTAATAAGCTGTTAAGGTACCTTGCGAAGCATGAGGTCAGAGGCAGTGTGTTCTTCCAGCCACCCAAGAAGCGTAATAGCAACTAATTAGCACAGCTCCTTCAGAGGCTATTGCTATTGTAACAGGAGGAAAGAAAGGCAGGAAAGTGCCAGGGGTGGGGGCTACTGTTGCTATCTGCCCTTTAGATGAAGGAGTTGTTGGTATTAACTTAGCCGAGGGTGAAGGCCTGACCTAGCACAGCGCTGAGTGTCACTGATGTGCTCTTGCCACTGAAAAGAAGAATGGCCCTGTTCCCTGCTCCATGCAGCTTCTGCCCTTCTGCTTTCTTCCCGAGGAGCAGGATTTATAGGGGCATCTGATTTGATTTATGGAGGAGTGAAATCACAAATTAACCACCCAGGCACACAAATTCGCAGCGCAACGCCACACAGCCCTTCCTCTCCTCCTTCCCCGACGAGCTGCCGTTACCCTACAGCGGCCGGTGGGCCAGGCGGCCTGGCGTTTGAGTTTGCCGCTGTGGTGCCCGGCCAGCCCGTGTGCCAGGCACCAGGGTGGCTCCATGCAGGGCGTTCCCCTCCAGATACACACAGAGGGGCAGCGGGAGCGCTGCTCTGCGGCTGCAGCAGTTGGTCTCTGTGCTGTGGTGTTTGGCTGGCAGTGGATGAAAGCCACCTGTAAATACACACGTATTTTACTGAATGCATGTACCAGCAGCCAAGCTTTGACTGCATTTAGTAAGGAACGAGGTGGTGTCGGCACTGCTGCAGATCACTGAGAGCGTTTGGACACTTGGTTATAGACGGTTTAACAGCAGTCTTTTGGAGAGGCTGCCTCTCCCCAGCGTGGCTGCGTGGCTGGGCACTGGGGCGTTGAAAACTTCACGTTGCTTTAGGTAGGGCGCCTGCGCTGCCTTTCCAGGGTGCGTACCAAACGTTACGTGGTGTCCAGATGCCCACGGCGAGCTGACTAGTGCTTGCTCTGGGTGAAGTGGGATCTAGCTATTTTGTTTTATTAATTTATTCAATGTCTTGATATCTTAGCGTTGTGGTTTTTTGCCGTTTCATTTCATTTACGGATCTGTTTTCTCGAGAATCCCGTCTCGGCGAGCTGGGGGCGCTCCGTGCCGCCCCGCGAGCCGCTCTACCCCTGCCCGCTAGGGGGCACGCGAGCCACGGCCGCTGCCACCGCTGCTGCGGTCCGGAGCTCGGGCGCCGCATTAGGGCCGTGCGCCCGGGCAAGGAGCAGCACGCTCGGGGCTTGGAGCGCCCTTTATTCTTTCCTCTCTTAAAGTGGGAGCTCCACTGCGAAGTAAGGAACGAGCCAGGAGTGAGCGATTTCCTATCGGTTGTTAGTTGTGAAGAAGACTAAATAGGTCAGCAGTCTGCCTGCATGCAAGCTTGTCCTCGTGCTGCTGCGGGCATCAGCTCTTCATTTTGCACCGAGTAATGACTAGCTGTTGTCCCACCGTCACCACGGCTCGCAGAGCGTGAAACACCTGGGAAGGAGCGGGGAGAGTCGATAATTGAGGGCAGTGTATGCTCAGGGCAAAGTGCAGTCACTGTTGGCATAGACAGGATTTGTCTTTTTTTTTTTTTTTTTAACCTAAGCACTGCCTCTGGGTACTTTGGAGACACAAACAGGCGGATTGGAAGTACTGGCTCCTGCTTTGTTCATGAAAAGAATGTAATAGAAAGTGACTTTATTTTAGTTAGTTTTAATAATCAGCTGCAATAAAGAGTATGTGGAAACCAAAGAATGATTTTTAAAAAAGCCACAACCTCGCACTGCTTGTTTAGAAAGGCGGGGCTTTTAGAGTCATTTTTTGTTGGCTTTGGGGTATTTCAGGGTTGGAGAAGGGTGAGGTATAGAGGAAGGCAAACCCTGACCTCTGGCATGATGTTTGCCGGAGTGAGAAAGTTTCCCCATTGGAGTCTGCTGTGGGATTGAATGGGCCACGCTGTCATCCAGCCAAACTGCTATCGCCAGCAGCCATCAAATGGAGTAATTCCAGCAACCTTCTTGGTTTTGCCAAAAGCTTCTGGAAAATTCTTTCCCCATGCTTTGTGCTAGGAAACTTCCCGCCTCGTTTAGTACTGACTGTGAATTTATCAGAAACACATTCTTGGCTGCTGCTTCCCCCTCCCACACTTCGAAGGACTTTACTGCACTGTGTTGTTTTTTTTTCCTCTGGAGGCGCTTACAGTGTATTGTCAAGGCATCCTTTGGCACTTTTTTTTTTTTACTGGTGAGCTGTTTAAATCTTTTTCTCCCAGCTGTTTTTTTTTCTTTTTTTTTCTTTCTCCTAAGCCTCAGATTTATTTGTGATGTCTCCATGTGCACTCTCTCCAGGGTTTAACAGCTTCTTCACCACGCGTACACCAGAACTGTACATAAGAGTAGTGTTGCCAGCGCCATATGCAGAGATAACATTGCTTCCCTGTTTCCCTTGTTTAACAAGGCTGGTAATCTCATTAAGCTTCTCCACCCCAATGAACTCTTCCTCGCCGCCACTATTGTGCTGGAATCTCACAATGAGTTATTTATCTATTATGCACTCCTCATTCTTTCCAGTGCTTGCTTTCCTGTAGGCTGCTACATACCTTTCATAGTGAGATTTGCATTTTTTATTCTGAGATTTTTTACTTCTGGAGTCGCCTGTGTTAAAAAGCATTTTGTTTGAATGGGCTCACTTCAGCAAGTGATCCATATTGTTCTATATGACTGCTCTGTCCCAGCTGTTATTTGCCACTTCATCAAATTTTGTCATCTGCAAATGTTAGCATTGCTAATTTTTTTTTATATGTACTCCTCTGTCATTACAGAAGATGGGAACTAGCACCTGGTCCCAGTCTTATGGCCTTGTGCCCCCTCTTGTTCTTTCAGATTTGCCCCAGTAGTTCTTGTCAGTGAACACGAGTAGGGTTTTTTTTTACAGCATCAAGAACATGCCTGTGGTCATTTCCAGATTTTGATTCTTGAGCTGATTTCTCTATTACTAGCTTTCCCTATGCTGTTCATTTTTTTCCTCCCCTATTTATTTATTTAAATTGAGGTGAGGTTAACTGGTCCATTAGATAGCCGTTTGTGTATTTTCAATTTCAGATTTGTTCTTGGGCTTGGAATGTAGAACTGCTTTATTGTGTTGGGTTAGCAATTATTTCCTGCGTGCCTCTGTAATGCATGGCACTCTCTGTGCTGTCTCAGACAGCTTAAGTGTGATTGAGTAACTAGAGCCAGCTGAAACATGTCGCCTTCCAGCCCTGTTCTTAGTTTCTGAACTTCTTCCTTTTCCTCCTGAATCCCAGAAGGCTTTATTAAGACAGCTTTCAGGGTGCCATTAATTCTAAGCTGCATAATTACCTTACTATGAGCTTTGACTCCATTTATAGTAGGAAAAAAGTGCTGTACGTTGCTAGAAATTTATATTCCTCAAAGTTAAAATTCACACTTAGTAAATTAAAAAGTTTGCTCCATTTACCTAGGAATAATGTATAGTAATTAACAGCAGGAGAATTTACCTGCAGAACTGCTGAATACAATGAGGTAGGTTTTGTGAAAACATGGTACTCTAATGAGCCACTGTTATACTTGTTCTTTGCTTCCGAAATTGCACATAAGACCCTTATATATTTTAAGAAAGGCAAGCTTGTGCTGTTCAGCATGCTTTGTTTAGAAGTGGGGAACAATATTTAGAATACTCATCTTTACTTGGGGGTTCTGTTTTAATGTCAACCTTGTACTACCTCAAAGTTGAATGTGTTTGTGAAGCTAGAAATCAGGCCAGGCTTTTTTTTTTTTTTTCTCCTTAAGGAATATGTGTAAGGAATAATGCTGCTGCGCTAAACCTCATGCCACTATTTGTGTGATACCGTGGGACTTCAGTGTTGCTGCATTTCAGACCAGGTAAGGTCACTTCTCTTTCTCTCTCCCTGTTCAGTTATCCCCAGCATATCTCAGTACTGAATCAGCCAGACTGAGCCTGAGCATGTTCTTGGTCCTTTGTCACACTGCTACCTGTGATGTCCAGTATTGTAGGATCTGATTAGGAGGTGGCATGCGAAACAAACCTTTGCACCATGTTTTCTCTGTGAAAAACCACAGACCATTTTAGTGATCTAAAACTGTGTGATTAGTTTTAGTGCAACAAATACTCTGTTTCCTGAGATGAAGAGAGGAGCTGCATTTTTGTCTGGGCTTTGTTCATGAAGTAATTTCAAGTGCTGGCATCCTTATTTATATTACTACTGAGGTTGAAAAAGGGCCATGAGGAAGGAGTGGGGCTTTTCTATTAGTAGTGTTTTGTCTGTTTTCTTGGCTCAAACCTAGGTACTCACACAGTTACATTTTGCCACACATGGTCACTCTGCCACGAAGATAAAAACTTAAGATGAAAAATTAAGTCTTGACTGCTGTCTTATGTTTGATGACTGTAGATGTTGTGTTCCTTCTTCCTAAGGGGATGACAGTTGGCACTTCCTTGTTAATTAACTAGTTTCATTTTTGGCTTTATTTTTGATCAGCGAGCCCCAGAAACTTGTGTGTGCAAAGATCAATTTAATTTTATAAGCATGGCATATTTAGTACTTTGCACTAATTGGCTGTAGCTGAGAAGCTGCCCAGTCTGGTCAGTTTAGATGTGACTTTGCAGTTGGGGATGATTTCGCTGTTGCTGTTCTGTTGATGCTGTGTGATGCTCTCTGGCTTATCTTTAACCCTGGCAGCTTCTATTAAGTGTCAGCTATGCAGCTTCTAATAAGCTGCTTAGAAACTGTTTCAAGTATGTGTCTGCTTTGCATTTCCCATCCCCGAAGTACTATCCACGAGTCTTTCCTTGCAAAGGGTTCTGAAGCTAGCCACGTGTACAGCTATTAACAGTGAACCAAGGTATTAACATTCTGAGATTTTTAATTAAGTGATGTGCCTTTAAGAGAATAGCATACAGATTCAAAACTGTGTTTTAATTCAGCAAGGTTTAAACTCGAGAATTGAAGACAGAATTCAAACATTTTGTCGTCTCAGATTCTCTGCAAACGAAGCCTATTCTCTCATAGACAGTCATTTTAAACTGTTATTTTATGCAGTGTTTCTTCTTTTACAGTCTTTCAGCCATCATTTTAAAAGTGCCTCTGAAGAGTGGCAGTGGTAACTGGCATTTTTTTCCTTGTCAAATGCTAATCTCTCACCTCCCAAGTGTGAACATACAAAGCTCTCTTACTGGCTTTTTTTTTTTTTTTTTTAAACAAAATTAGGGCACAGTTAGCTAAGCAGAGTGACCTGATTCATGCTGGATCAACATATTATCAACTTGAGGTTGTCACTACAAAGTAAGTGTGGTGAAGTCTGCCTGTTCCAACTAAAATCAAAGCCGTCTCCTGACATACGGTAGTGCTGAAGTCAGCAGTTTCTACAAGGTGGGTCTAAATGCAGACTGAAGGATCTCTTCAGTGTATGTATGTAACTAACAGTGCCAACCTAATTATTTATAATCAAATATTTTTTTTGTCATATTTCTAACTCTGGAGGACACAAGAGAAAACAGTTCTAAGTGATTTTTTTTTTTTTTTTGCTCTTTGGCTTTTCCTTATCTACAAAAGATTTGACTTAGTGAAGTATATGTAATGTTTTCTCTAAAGTAGGCCAACTTAGAGATCCCATGGAGTAATTCACTTTGCTGAGTTAGCAGACTAAGCCATTGGACTGAGGGGGGGAGGACACAGCCAATGAAGCAAATGAATCAATACCAGTGCAACTGGATCAGTTTGCTTCTTCCGACAGAACCACAAAAGGAATAGTGCAGCTGTAATACCTGGCATACAGATTTAAAAGACAAATATAAACACACATACACACACACACACACATTGGGTTGGCTTTTATTGGAAAGCCTAGATGCAATCTATAGTTATCAATCTGTGGAAAATTCAGGACACATAGAAAGTTAAGAAGGCAAATTAAAAGAACAATACAAATCAGATGAAATATACATCTCAAAATATCAGGATAGCATTTTGACTGGCATTGCCTAAAATACTTAATCTCCTTTCTTTTTTTCTTTTTTTTTTTTTTCCTTTGTAATATGCTTCTTTTAACCATACATATTTTAACTTTAAAAAGACCTTTCTTTTGTTTATATATTCCCCAAGGTCACTATTTCCTGCAGGAGCATGTCCAGATCACAAGTCTTTTTTAGCAAGAAATAGGCTCGTTATGCCTAGTAACAAGGTCACTAATTGGCTTGATTTGACTTTATTTAAAATGATCACCAGCAGATATTATAATTTGTTGTTTATTGGTGTCAGAACAAAGGAGAAGGAACTGGTACGCGTCAAGTAGAAGATATATTTCATTGTTGATACGTTATACACGCTTTTCATATTCAAACAGAACAGAAACATTTGACATAATTTAGAATATGAGCCTATTTCAACAGAGAGCACTTACAGCATGCTAAATACAGTGCTGTGGAAGAGCCACCCAACAGAACTGCAAACACCTAGCATTTTACATCTTTAAATAATACGTAGATCACACACCTCTGGGGTCTGGCATATTGTCCTCTCTAAATTTAGGGCCCTCAAGGCTTCAAGGGTAAAAATACTAACAACTATTCTGTGCTTTCATTCTAATAGATGATTAGCATTCGTTATATGTGTAATTAGTTCTGTATGCTCTACCAAATACACACGTACAGTAACAGCACTGATACTGTAGATTCGGTAGCAACTTGGCCAGCAGAAATTCAGATCTGTTAATCAATCCTAATGTGCAATTTAGAGTATGTAATACCATAGACTCTCAGAATACAAAGCAGTTAGTTAGAAAACTATTTTTATTACATCCACTTGAACCATTCATAATTAAGACACGTTCACTTACTATGTTTTGTCATTATAATACATGGATAGAAATAACTGTGTATAGTTCAATGAACATCAAAAAAACCCAATTTTGTCTCATCTTAAAAATACTTGTTTTTGTGGCTGAATTTAGTGCTCACAAGAGTAAAGCTCAGAGAATGGTTTCAGCCAAGATATAGAACAGATGCCATAGATGCCCCTGCAGGCTTCCTACAAGGAACCAGCTGCATGCTTCAGTTATGTCTTACAGCAGATATGCTGGACCTTGGAGCAGAGCATGCCAAATCTGTGCAGTGGTGTTGAGATGCAGACTAGGCACTAGGATTAGACCTTCTTCTCCATCCCCTTGTTGAGTTTTCACAGTAATGGGATGTGATCTGGCAGCTGAAGGCCAGGAGATGAACCTACTGAACTGCCTGCCTGCCTAAAGAGCAATTTTGTAGCATCAGGTCAGAGGTACGCTTCTTCTATCTATCTGGAGTTATAACATCTAAAAGAGCTGTACTATACAGAAGACAAAGTTGACATAACTGGATGAAACTACACCATTTCTTCTTCTTCTTCTACGTACAGTTTGCCAAGCACCTGAGACACTATTCTCTCCATTGTGAAACAAAGCTTCTAAAAAAACAACAGAAAGCCCACTTGGTATGAATAAATGTCCATTTATTACATTAGGGCTGGAAAAAGACAAGGAAAACCCAACCTATTAAAGTCTTCCATCATAATAAACGAGACTTATTTGGTTACTGTGCCTTCTAACAATGATGAAGTGGCACTGGCCTGGATGACAGGAGAGGTAGGGGAGGGAAGGGAGCTGCAGTCTGATTCAGCCAGCCACTTTGGAGTGTTCCATCCTATCAGCAGAGTGATAGATGCACAGCTTTAAACCTAATACAAAAATATTAACACTTTTGGACATTAGTAATCACTGTTATATCTCTACAATATAATACTTTATACTGTACAGCTATAACATAAAAGGTGCAATTCCTTTTTCTTTAAAAAAATCACACACAGCACATGTTTTTATCATTTTATTTTTAAGTATAAACTTTTTTAAACACTTTACATAAATTAACTCCTCTGAGACTAATATTTGATGTACAGTAAATTGTAATTCATATAAAAATCCATAAACAACTTGTCTCACATAATTTACAAAAAATCAGGGTTTCCTTTGCTTATCTGTAACAAGGATTCTACTTGCCGTTTTATTCCCCCCAAGGCAAAGCACGTTAGCGTTGTAAAATCCATTATTAAATTCCCATGGTAGCATAAGTCACTTGTGCCAATGTCCTTTTAGAAAGCAGCACAGTTTAAAGCAGTTGAGTTGTCTATAAACAGTAACTTTTGTCCCACATTTTAAAATTAACAGATATATACCACATCCTATGCAGTGATAAAGAGAAAAAGAGAGAGAAAGAGAGAGACTACTTCTCGTAAGCAAAGGTCAACAATTCAGTAATATTTGGAAACACTGTACAGGTCTGTATCTTAATTAAATACAGTGCCTCAGAACAACAGGCAGACTGTTGTAAAATCTTTAGGCCTTTTTTCTTCTTTTTTTTTTTAATTAATACTTTTCAGTCCAACTTGAGTGCAGCGATATGCGTATGTAAACATATTCTTTAAAGCAGATCACCTTTAAGGTCATTGAGAAAAAAAAAAGAGTTTTGTCATTAGCAGTATCATTCTTCCGGAAGGCGCTCTTCTCATTACAGAGTCCGTTCAGATTGTGCTACAGAAAAAAATCTGAGCAAAGATGTAAGCTTAGGCTCAAGTAGTAATGCAGCAAAACAGTTTGGTCTCCTTTTTAGAAGACACTGGTACACAGTCTCTTTGGCAGCCTGAGCTAAGCCAGTGTGTTACCTCTTTCCTATCTCACTTTGTCTGAGGAACTGTATATTGTTGGCGCTGTCTGCTAATTCTGGATATTGCTCCACAGAGAGTACATAGTACCCATCATATCCTTGTACCTTTCCAGCACTTAGCAACTGCCTCTTTTCTCCTTCTGTCCACAGCCTGGCACCTTCCTCTCCATCCCTTACTCTCTGTTGTTCCCTGGCCCAGGCACTGGAAAGAGCTCTTTGCCTGGCTTGCTCCAGTATTCGGGCTTTTTCCTCGTCAAGCGTCATGCCGTATCGGACATGAAGCGCTAACGCACCGTACTGCATTTCAACATCGGCAAACCTACGAGTCCTGCCGTTCACCACGGTAGTGGACTGGGACACGGTGACATTGATGCCGTTCTCCAGGGCCTTCCGCCCACTGGTCAGCCGCAGAGTCCCAAGGTCACTCTCAGGGGAGGTGGTCTTGATAAAATAGTGCGTGTCTTTTCCCTCAACGGTGAAATGTAAGTTTTCTAGGTAGTAGGCGTTGTTCAGAACAGCTGCCACTTTGATGCAGTCCTCATTTGCAATGTTGAGCACATTTGTCTGCACTTTTCCTTGATTGACAGCGAGCATCACCCCTTTCCCGATCAGAGACTTCACTGTGGCAAACCACAGCCACGACTTCTCTCCGCTGGATTTCCGTCTGCTGACCTGCACTTCTGCCATCTTTCCCAGGGAAAGGAAAGCCTTTGCTTGTCTCGCCACTTGTTGTTGCACTCCAGAAATTGGCTGTAAACAAGAACAGACAGAAGTTTTACCAACCATCTGTAGCCCTCTGGATGCCAAGTGGGCAGGCTTTCTTGGTGTACTGCCCATGGATGACAACAGGATATGCTGCCACTGACGGTGCCAAGGAGGTAATTAAATCTACATACCGCTTGTTCTACTGAGCTACAAGACTATTTGGTTTGATAATGTTCTGTGTTTTTTTTCTCTTTGTCTCCCTGCGAACCTGCACGTGCACAGAAATTCTGTTTATTTCAGAGGCTACTTGGAGGGGCTAATTTTGTAATGTAAATTTTGTAATGCTAACACTTAGTACAGGAAAGAGCTGTCTTTCTTTCTTTAGTGTTATCTCATCGTTTGAGTTTGTTCCTGTCTACCATAGTTTCATCTAAATCAAGGGGATTTTTATGGGCCATGAAGCTGTGATTCAGAACAAAAACAAGCCTTTCTTTGTGCCCAGTCAGGAGGTAGGTAGATACAGAGTCTGAGGTAACTGCAGGCTAAGACCAAACTGCAGGGAGGCTATCTCAACCCCTAAAGCTGCTAAAGGAAGGGGGCAGTCAAACCATGAGGATAGTCTTTATGGTAAGAGAAAAGGAGGTAAATAGTGCAGAGCAGAGGGGTGGAATATTAGGGACTGATGATCTTTCCTGCAAATATTTGAAGAAACTGATAAAAGGGTACGTGTGAAAAAGCTGCAGCCTCTCCGATTGTGTGTCCATTTAACTTCAAGCATCAGCATGCTGGCTGAGACCTAAAACAGACAAGCAGTCTCTCCAGAAGACAGTAGAGGGGTGTACTTTGTTGGCAAAGGGGGCAGTGAGCGAAAGTAACCAGCAGGCAAATCACTCAGTATTTCATATTTTACGAGAACCTAAGGTGTTGAACAGGTACATGTGTTTTAGAGGGGAGGGAATTACAGTTGTAATTGTGAGGTGCAAAAATACGAGGTGGGAAAGATTGGATAGAAAAATATGTTTAAAAGTTTCACTATTAAGAGCTATGTGTAGTCCAGTATGCTAGGTGCACTCTTGATAAGGTGAGAGAAGACAGCTAGAGACTAGGAGCTGTCAGCAGAACTGCTGTGGTTATCCAGAACAGCTAGAAGAACAGGAGCAGCCAGCAGGAACAGCAGGATAGCTCACATTATGGGGTCAGCTGTGGTTGGGATGAGAACTTACAACTGCAGAATAGGCACATCCTATCTGTGTAACTGTGGGGCTTAACAGTGACAAGCTGTGAATGAGTTAGTACTGACGGAGGAGGAGAGTAGACAGCTGCCCTAGCAGTTGTCTCAGCAGGAAACAGAGGAAGATTTAAATAGCTTTGGCTACACTTCTGAAACCGAGTAGTTAGTTTCTGTAGATTATCCAGCTTATCTTCCAATTGACCCCTTTTCCTTCCAGTAAAATATTGTTTAAAACCACTTGATTCACGACTGACAAATGAGGCAAGCGCCTGTTCTCTCTTCCTAAATTTCTAGACCGAACAGGAGTCGTTAACACAGACTTCAGCAACCATAATTCTCCCTTGCCGCTCATCAAAGCCTGGCAAAAGGTTTGCAAAGACTTCTCTACGTTGCCATGAGGGCAGGTTTCTGGAGGGGACAATTCCTGAGGGAATTCAAATTGATTTGGATTTTCAAGTCTCCTTGAATGTGGCAGACTCTTGTCTGCACTTGCTAACAAGTGTGGATTTCAGCTGTCTAAATCCCACATAAAAGCTAGCAAGTACAAAATGTATTTTAGCCAGCACACTAATCAGTGAGAGTGGCAAGATGCTATAGCAACTTAATGGCAAAGATTGCTTATTTTTCACAGGTATCTTCAGAGCTCTGAAGTAAAACCTCATAGATGGGTAATGCTCACTTCCTCCAGAATGTTTCAAAATACCGAGTAAGTATTTTGTATCTTTACTTCTGGCTCCTGGTTGTATTTGCTTATTCAGTTGTGAATACCATAGTTACAGCTTCTTCCTCTGTGAGAATTTTGCATCTTTGTTTTTGTCCCTCTCCCTCTCCTCTGTCATGCTGCATGTCTCTTGTACTCAGGTGCCTCCCTGGTACTCCTGTCCTGAAGGAAGCTTTCTGACAGCTAGCTGCCTGCTCTCATCTCCTTGACCAGACTGATTTTCTTCCTGGTGTGCTTTTTCCAGTGGTACTGGATAGTCTCATTCTTTCAGCTTCTGAGATCTAAGTAAACAACTTCTAATAGTTTTTTGCAGCAATGCCAGATGATGACCACCTCGCCTGGAATACTTGCAATGTTTTCTATACTGCTTTTTATTGTTCATGGAAGACACTATTCCCATACTGTGCTCAAAGGTCTTTCTCCGTTACTCAGCTCCTGGCTATTAAACTGTATAGATAATGGGTGATTCTGTGCGTGCAGAATTTACTTCCATATGTTCCCTTTTGCTGGGCCACACTTTTTGATGATTTTTGGTCTAAATTAGTTTTTGCAGGGTTATTGAAGATTGTATCATCTTTTAACCTTGAAAAAAGGGAATGGTTTCTGACTGCTTATGATCAGACTACCCGTTTTAACGTCTCAGCACATCCTTCTTAGCTGAGAACTGTAGAATTTGGGAGGGCATATGTCTCTGATCTTTGAATAAGCTTGGTTTGTAAACATCATTTTCTTTAATAGCGGATTTGAAAATCAACTTTTACTGTTATTTCTTTTATCATTTAAAATTCTAAGAGGTTTTCAGGCTTTAAGTTCTCTCTTTTATTTTTTTTTTCTTCCCAAAAGAACTTCATAAGCACTTGGAGTTTTGGTTTTATGTAATATAATAGGTTTTACCTCAGGTAATTTCATTTTCAATATTTTATCTTTACATATAAAGCGTAGTTAATATTAAAGAGAAGTAAAACTGTAGTGGTGCCTGGTATGCATAATTTACATCACCTGTTCTTCTGTTTATTTCACAGTCTATTTTTTGCTACGCTGTTCAGTTTTTGCCTTTGGGCAGAATGTTAGTACAAATCTAATCTCTGTAGTTTCTGTTAGGAAAGTTAGACATCTTCAAAGGTTCTTAAACTTCTTTTCATTGATTACTGTCCTTCTATATTTTTATTGTTGCTGAGAGCAAAAGCTTATTTAAAATTTGTACTTAGCAAATCTGTAATTTTAAAAATTCTTTTGAAAATGCATAGATAAAAAATAGATATTTGAAAAGTACAAATTCAGATTAAATACGGAAATAGCCCTGTCAGGATTATCCATTCCTCTTAAGCGGAATAGAAGAGAATATTCTATCCTCTTTCATCTGTCTGCTTAGCTTTGATTCTTACAGGTATATCTTCCCATTGCTGGCTCTTCACAAGTTCATAAGATGGTTCTGTTAAATCAAATTTTGGAACAGGAAAACCAGGAATGGCATTGTGTAGGTGGAATCCAAATGTCACCAGCCAGCTGTTAACATCTGAAAGAGAATTAGTAAAAAAAAAAAAAAGAAAAAGAGTCATTTAATATTTTGTAATTATTTGTTACCATTTGTACAACAATTGGAACAACTTTTGACATAGTTGTATCGTTTTCATGCCACAGAAGGAGATCCACTGTCTTTGTTTTGGTATGTATGAATTCAGACATGCTACTGCTAAAATAGCAAGCCTATGTAGAAAGCCTGAAGTTCTGAACTTGCGTGATAACTTCTGCTCTTTGCTGTAGGCTCTTCTGAAGGGTCTTACAGGTTTCAGCAGTTTTAAAGGCCGCAGCGTTTTCTAGAACTTCCAGAAATACAGAACCACAATGTGGGTATGATTTCCTTCTAATACAACCAAAACTAATTGGGATTTCATGGTTAGACTGAGCACTCTCTTTGTTACATCTTCATCATCAACACATTAAAACAAAGCAAAAAAAGAAAAGGTATAGAAGAAAACATCCAGCCCTTTTGTTATACATCTGTTATTTTAGTATCTTCAAACTGTATCTGAAATAACATCTGTACAGTCAATTACCTTTACAATGACTTGGCAGACAATTTATGTTGATTCAAGAGGAATCTCCCTTTCCTCAGGATGAAATTAAAAGCTAATTAAATGTCAGTAAGTACACATGACACTAAATTAGCATTAGATAACATTATTTATGGTGTACTGTGCATTTTATTAAAAATAAATAAAATAGGGATACCAGCAATTAAGTAATTAAGAGTGATTAGACAAGAATGGGTGCTCTGCCTCTCTAGTTTCTGTCTTTCTACCCTATCTTACACAAATACTGAACTTATCAAAAGTTGGCAGAGTGCTCCTTATCAAGTCTAGTGGCTTTCAGTTAAGACAAATCCACACAAGTCAGACAAGGAATAGAATTTTTCAAATGCTTAAAACAGTAAAAAAATATTTACTTAAAAATAGTTTATAGTCTTTCCAGATAGATAAATGATAAGCCTCAGTCTAAAAATGCCAGCCAGCCAAATTAGTTATCTTAATAATAACCTTGGGTAAGCAGCATGCATTCCCTACATCAAAAACATTAAGAGAACTAAAACTCTATTTTGAGGGCAGTTCTTCAATCACATGCATTATTTTCAGCGCTGCAAAGAATCTGACTCCAGTTGCATCTCTTACAGCACATGCTGCTAGAAGAACCAGATTCAAAGGCCTGTCGTCATCCTTGCTCCCAGGCAGACTGTTAGCTACCCTGTTAATAGCTGATGTTTTTAAATTAACACAACCCCTCCCTGATTCCCAGTGTGCTTCTCTGAGTGGTAGTTTTCATGATTCATAGGGGGAGCTGAGACCATCCTGCAGTCTGGTCCTGTCTGAAAGAAATTTCAGATTGTTTACATCTATTAAAATACAAAGACTAATATATATCTGATCGAGCCATGCATTTTTCAGAACTTTCTGGCGATGCACACTATTTTTTGTGTGTAGATTAATAGAAAACACTACTCATCACTTAGTCTAGGTGCACAAAAAGCATATAGATTACCTAAAAAATCAATTACACAAGTGACATGTCAGCAGCTTTCTACTGCCAAAAGAGAATTTTGTACTAATTTTTCTATATCCACCCTCTTTGTCTTGGCTGTTTACTCATTATTTTGTGCTGGCCCTGCACCTTGTTGGACTTTGCTTCTTAGCCAGTTTACATCAGTATTCTTGGAAAAGCCCATTCTAGCAATCACCAATGAGTGAACTTTAAGTGGGTACTTTCTGCCATATTAACAGGTTAAACTGGTTGCAGAAAGACCGCTTCTGCCCTTGCTATCTCACATTCTCATTCCCTCTTGTCTTTTTTTGTCCATAAATACACAGTTTTTACTGCTCTGTAGCCCAGACACTTGAATTAGTCCCTAATTTATATAAGGAGATTGTCATGAATGGTTCTCACTGCTGTACTTGCTGAAGAAATCTATTTATTTGTACTATAAGAGCACTAGGCAGTGTGTTACAATACTGGAAGGACAACCTAGATCTCTGCTTTCCTCTTCTCCAGTACACTGTGTTGTGAACCTTCATCTCTCTTTGGTACCTAAATGCATGTCTAAAGGCATATGAAATATTTTCAAGATTGCTATTTCACCATTCCTGATGAATGTGTTTGCATTCATTAATCTCAATGTCAAGTGCTTAATGCTTCCTCAAAAATAACTTTTAAATATATTATACCTAGGCACTTTACTCGAATTGTGTATTCCAGTCTAAATTGGATGCATATAGGTCCAGAACACCAAGCAAGCTAAAATCATTTGGTTGATCTAGACCTAAATTTCAAGTGCTTTTCTGAATGATTATTTTCCCTGAGAGTTTCTGTATTAATCTTCCTCACACAATCTGTATCCCAGATTGACAGATTCCAGATTATAAGAATGCAGAGTTAGTTAGAAATTTTTGAGCCTTAAATGAAGTAGCATTTTACCTGTGATGTAATCCTTCACATCATGTATTTTACTGGCTGGGTTGTTATTTCTAAACATGTACAAATTGAAAGGAGCTGGATCCTTCCCAATTCTCTTCCAGACTTCAATATCAGGTGTTGTCCACCGGCCTGCCATTATGTCATAATCTCTTTCTCCAAAGTGGACTAGCTTGGTCAGTGGGTCATATAAACCACCGTGGAATCCAATTACCAGTTGGAAGTCAAGGTTTGAGTCAAAGTAGATCTCTCCATAAGCAGTGTATTGAATTTGTTTGAGCATGAGACCATTGCTACTAAAAACAGCCAGTGGTGTTCCTGTATTGTCAGATGCAATGTAGAACTCGTCTCCACTGCTAATCTCCATGGCAAAAAGATGTCCCTGCAGGTCATAGTAAAGGGATGTGATTTCAGAACTTGAGTGGTTGTATACATGAGTTATCCTGGTTGGGTAAGTAAGGTCTGCGTAAAAGAACTGGAGGTGCTGTCCAAGGCTAGTTTTACTGGAAACTCGTCGTCCAAGGCCATCGTAACGATAAATCACCGTCCACCCACTGCCTTTGCTGTAAACTCGAGTGAGGAGGCCCTTTGAACTGTATTCAAAGATTTCGGTACCCCTCTGGCGCAGAAATCCGTCTTCATCTAATCGATACTGCACGTCACCTAGTCGGGTTATTCTGTCTCTCAGGTCATAGCGAAGTGGCGTCAGACGGGCACTACTGCTAGGGTTGAGCAGATGGAGGTTGCCATTCAAGTCATAGTTGTATCGCCACATTATTTTTTCATTCAGGTAAACAGTCTGGAGTTGACCATCTACATCATATTCGTAGGCGTATTTTGTGGTGTTGGCAAATGGCCCAATCTTAATTTCCCTTTTTGTCACTCGTCCCATGTTATCATACTGAATTGTAATCCAATACATTAGTGAACGAAAGATTTCATACTGAATTTCCTTGATGCGGCCGTGTGCGTCAAAGTGTTTTGTGTAAGTCATTACAGCTGTAGAAATGATCTGGTTAATA